GAGTAAGACCTGGCCCCAGCCTCTCTGGTCTTCTCCCAAGCATATTTGTTGAGGAAGTGGTCATCACAACATGAGTTAATTCACCACCCCAGTGAGCCAGTATCCACCACTGCCCTCATCCTGGCTGGTGTCCTCCACTCTATGCCATAGTTGTCATAAACAACTGCTTGGAAATCAAGTTTTTTAAACATGTCATAATTTAGGAGTCCCAGAGGACTCTGCTATTTAGTTAAAGCCTACTGTGAATCCATTATAAAAATAAGGACTTCTCAGCAAAGTCTGGATTTTTTTTTAGAATGATGATCAACACTAAGTGAATATTCCATTATTTCTATAACTGAGGGGCGCTGGCCAATGGAAAGCGACCGCCACCTCTCTCCACCTGGCCCCTGGAATGGTGATGGTGTATTAACTGTTTAAATTCGCTACAACATGAATTGAACTAGACTTGACACGTGCAGATCAGATGCCCGGGTCCTACTACTAATTCCCTGAGCAAGAGTCTCTGGCCTCAGACATGAAGCTTTCCCAAGATGAGGGCTTTTGGGGGTTTAAAAACTCCTAAAGGATGACCTCCTTCAGAATGAAAGCTCATGTGCACAAGGGAAAGCTGAGATAAATACAAGCAAATACAAAACCAGACACTGCACAAATATTTTTATCCAAGTATTATTTCAGTGCCAAAAGAAGTGCCAAAGACACTCAAGATAAAAGCCTGGGAATTGGTCACATTTGTCCCCAAGGCTTAAGAGTGTTTTTATCCCACTAAAACAAGGACAAAACACTGATGTTTTCAAGCTGACAGACATATCAATTGTAGATTCCTGGTGCCATATTGGGAGTAACATTTCACTGTGCTGCTTCAGGTGTCGGAAACCTGTTGTTGTGTTGGGGAGACTCTAAAACAACCCATTGAAGAGATTTATGTTACAGGTGAAACAAAACAAATTGGGTTATCTAAGTAGACAGGGACAGGCCTGGTAAAAGGGACACAGAGTACTAAAATCTAATTTTATTCAGTAGTTATACATTCCCTATTTACCCTCTGAAAATGCGTCCTACTCGTTCCTAATAAGCAGCAATGCTGAGAGGTGTGTTATCTTTCCTTTCCTATCCTCTACTGAAAGCAAACAGCAGGAGAGAAGGTAGTTTATGCACAACTAAACCAAAACCTCAAGACATTGGAATAGAGAAAAACAGTGTGCTCAGGGTCCTGTTTTATGTCTAGTGATTAAAACTCTAGAGGGCAAATGTGGGGAAGATAGTGGGATGCAAAGTGCTTGCTGAGAACATGAAGTTAAGGGTGGAGGCCAGGGGCTCCAGTCCCAAACCTCCCTAGGCTGGGCTGCAGGCAGTCCCTCTCCCACCCCAACCAGTGGAAGCTGTTGGGGCATAATGTTGACAAAGCACCAGGAAGAGGCCTCTTCAGATCAGAGGGAGGCCAGGTCAGCCCCTGCACACTTCCCCAAGGTGCACACCTGCCCAAGCCAGCAGGGTGGGAGTGGAGGGGGAGGGGACAGAAGCAAAGGGTGGCTACCAGAACAATAGCACCTGAGTCCTACAGCAGGTGCAGCGCTAGCAGGGCTGGTTTTCCTAAGGGAAGGAGGATCCTCAAGTTCTTTCCATCAAAATTCCTGAGAAATCTGCTAGCACGGCGGAGCAGCCTTCCCTGGAGCCACAGCTCTGGTGCAAGCCCGAGGTCAAAGAACAGATGTGATTCCACCTCCAATGAACCCCCAATCCCAGCTTTTGATTCAAGGTTAAGTATCCTCAGGTCTCTCCTCCACATCCAGAAAATGCCAGATTATTTAGGTAATACTTCAAGGTAGTGACTGAGGGATTGGAATCAAACATTAGATTTGAAATTTCATTTATTAGCCATGAGATTTTAAGCAAGTTCCTCCCTCTCTGCTCATCCCTTTTCTTACCTGTAAAATTCAGATAACGCCTACCTTAAAGGAATTCACATTCTAAGACAACGCCTAACATTCGATACCTGATAGATACATCTTATTACCCTTCTCTTCCTTCTTTGACCAAAATATATTTTGTCAAAAATGTGACCCCAAATCTAATTTTCTAGGCATCCACTTGGTTAAAGCTCAATATGGAGATTTCAGTGTAGTGCCTAAGGTACCTTATTCACTACTGCACTGAATACCATTCAAAAACTGTGCTATGGGCTTAAGAATAACTCATATTTTATTTATAATGGATTCTGACCACAGGGTTACATAGCAGTAAATTCACAGTAGTGATTTATTTTTTGTAAAACAAGACTCGCAAAGCACAAACACTACCCAGAAATACTTACACCACTTTACAACTGCAGGGTCTCTGCTGGGCTATTTGAATATTATGGCACCATTTCTGTGCTGCTTTTAGTAATCAATCTTTTTTTTTAAATGAAGCTCAATTTTTAAGTTATACTGAGAAATCTATGGTAAGGCTTCCGGGGTAGTGAAGTTGGAGCAGTCATCATCATGGAGCTTGACCTTTCTTTCTTTGTTTCTTGCTGTTTTCAGGTCATAAAGTCCTGAGGCAAGAAAGTCTAATGGACTTGCCTACAGGACAGCAGGCTCTCCAGAAGACACTGCTGTGCTAAAGCCATTTACTCCTGGGGAGAAGCCAGTGTAACCTAGGGGAAGGAGTAAAGGAGGCGAGGGAGAAGTATCTGGCTTTAGAGTAACCTCCCAGAAGATGGGTGCTGTTAGGGTATCTCTCAAACACAGGGCATATGTAGAAACACATGGACTTTCACACACTCATCTATATAAACACATCCACAAGTTATTTGCTGAGATACACACCCATCTGTTACAGATAACACAGATGTTCAGATGGCTAACATAAACATGCCGTCCATCTGGTAATTACACTCAGAGAAATGCTCACATATATAGAAACACACACCCACAAACAAATGTGCGTCCCAGTGTAGGGAGCCTTCCATAGCAGGGTTCACACAGACGAGGGTAAACAAGGACTTGATTTTGCTGATTTCATTGAGCGGCTGCTACACTCACTCTCCCGGGAAAAAGTAAGGAGGGGCAGGGTCATCAGTTTCTGTCAGCCTAACAGGCTCATGGCTTCCCACAGGGCTACAGGCTTATCTATATACATGCACACCAAAGTGACTGGGAGACACAAGAAAGAGAGTACTCGACTACCACCAGCTATGGTGAAGACAGCGGAGCACCTCGTGCCCACCCAACACACACCCGAACAACCACCGTCTCCCCACTGCAAAGGAGGTCCGAGCTCTGGCAATGAGCCGCAGCACGACACACACATACACACATACTACGGCCACTTTCCTCTATCCATTGGCCGTACAGAATTTGTCCTGTGCGTAGACAGAGGACAGAGAGGAAGGAAGGGAGATGATGGCAGCTGGGCAAAAAATGGTCAAGCATTTTCTCTAGGGCTTACTTGAAACACTTTCGCAAAACCATTACACGTTTTGACTTAACTGATAATGCAAAGGATGGATCAATCACAAAACCTTAAAATCCCTTCCAGCTCTATGAATGCGGACTTCAATGTTTAGTTCATGGACGATTAAAAATTGTCATTATCTTCAAAAGTACACACTTAAGAACAGAAACTATCTACTGGTTAAAACATCACCAGGGAAGAGAACAACCTCAGACATACACTCCTCATTAAGTTTTTCTACTCCTTACTGTTTAACGTTCACATTTTAATAACAGGTTGAAAGTTATAGAAAATCTATAAACATTTCAGGCAAACAAAATCTTGTATCCTCTAATGTGAACTTATCTTCTAATTCTACTAGCCCAGGGCACAGTTTACTCCTTTTCAAAAGAAGAGCTTATTGACTGCAAGAACTGAAAAGAACTGTGTTCAATTGTATGATACAGCTTTTCTGAATACTTACATTTTTAAAAAAATGCCATTTACATTGTTCCCACTGCACCAGTAACTCAGGCTATGAAGAGTTTGCAAGTGCAAAGCCTTGATACAAAGATCCTGCATTTTATTACGTTGTTCTCTCGAAAAGGACTCAATACAAAGTCAGTGTAAAAAAATCAATATTCAATTTAAAACAGAAACAATAATTTCACAAAGTCTGACATTCTCCTATGCAAAGACTGGGAGAGAGAGAAAAGAAATTCCTTAATTTAAACCTTTCTTCACCCTGCTGGGAAGGCAGGCACCAAAGCCATGAATCCAACTTAACCCCTTCTGGACTGGTAATTGAAGACAGGGTTGTAAGCACAGTGTTTTAGAATGCTGACGGATAGTGTCGTTATTAACCAGATGAATATACATGTATGGCACTTCTATTGCCGGGTTTCTGATGCTGCAGCCTCTGATACATTTAGTCTGGGACAGTATAACCTTTATGCAGCCAAAGTCTCTTATACATTCACCATCCCTTGCCCAGTCTCCCAAAATATATTCCTGAGAAAGACATCAAAAGGAACGTCCGGCTCGAAGGGACCTAAAGGCAAAACTAAGAAGAACAAAAGCACCATGGTTACATGGTATGTGTTTTACATAAACGGAAACCATGTAGTTAAATAGTATGTCTTGGCTTCACACCATACCGATTGGTTTCTCCTTCCTGCTTTTCCAACACATCTTCTTGTTGACCTGAAGGCTGTGGATTCAAGAACGCTGTTTACTTTTTCAGGTACAGGTGTGTGACAAATATCAAAAGCCAATTTTGGTTTAAGACAGTAATAACAAACACTGCACCACTTGTGGAATGCATAAACCAGAAAGGGTACATGCGAACACATACACAAAGAGCATTTGACAGTGTAATCCTTGGCTATAGCAAGGTGACTGGTTACCCTAAACACTGGGGAAAAGCGAGAGTGAACACTTTGCAAAGGTTTGCTGTGGATACAGGAAGGCAGATGCAGGAACTGAAGGCTGCTGCAGGGCTCTGCCCGTTGGCGCCTCCGCTCGCCTGGCCCGGCTGCTCCCCTGGGCCCGGGCCCAGGCAAGCCCACTGAAACCATCTAAGAAACAGACCAGGCTGGCATCATTCTGGATCACAAGCTCGGCTCCCTACTTTCCTTTCCCCAGATGCTGCAGCTTGCCCATTCCCTCTCCTCACTTAACTGCCAACTACGAGTGATTTAGCACCAGGGCCTAAAGGAGCCCCTGCACGGGTAGTAAGGGGCGGAGGTGATGAGCGCACAGTGACGGTGGTCAGAGTCAGGGGCTGGACGCCGCAGCTGTCCCTTGGCAAGACAGCTTGCTATGGAGCTTTGTGAGGACGTACCTCCAGGGAAATGGAGGCTCTGAGCTGAACTTGCCAGTCCCTGAGTCACAGCGTGGGTCTCCCCCTGGTGGGTGCGGAGCAGTGGCGGGGAGGGGCTCCTGCCGCAGCCTGAATGGGACATCCTAGCTGGCTGGCATGCCCTCCCTGGGACCTACCTGGGGGGTACTTCACCCTTCCCTACGTAAACAAACAATCCGTGGGGCGGACCTGAGGCTGTGCATGGAGCCCGAGGGCACACGTGAAGAGCCAGGTCCTGGGCGGCTCTGAAAGCTGGGCTCCCTGGCCGGGGCTGCCAGCCAGGTAGGGTGTGGTGTGTTTTGGGAGGGTGGGGGTGGGATGGAGCGGGGTCAGGTAGGCCATCACTGGGTTAGGAAAGAGCTACCTGCTCAAGCTGGTAGGCAAGCAGGTCAAAACCAGGGCAGGTAGATTCTCTCTTTGGGGAAAAAAATAAAATCATTAAGAGCTGTAAACTGACAGTGCACGTTTGTCGTTGTGACCTTTCTCTGCAGAACCTAAGGCAACAGAGAACAAAGACGAAGGCAGGCATTTCGTGAACGGCCCCTGGCTCCCGTGGTGCCGGATGTTTACATATACAAACACGTGTGGACATGTCCCGTCTGGTTCCCTGAAACAGGACAAAGACGTGTCCCCAGAGGCCCACGAGTGGGATGGCCAGAAGCCAGGGCAGGGCTGGGTGCTGGACGAAAGGCAGGGACGAGTCGTAAGGCGAGGTTCCCAAGAACCTCCAGCTCCGCTTTGGTTTGCAGCTGTCACAGAAACGCCAGGGAACGGCTTCTCGAGAGACGTCCCATCCCCAAGTCAGATGTCATCAGTCACTTTTTTCCAGGACGGACATCTTCTGCTTCCTTCCAAATAAAGTGCAGATGGTCAAAGGACCCTGGTCTCTCATCTGCCAGTTCAGTCAGCAATGAAGAATAATAAAAACAAAGATGCCCCTCTGGTATACATATATATCTCTCTATATATTCTTTTTTTTTTTTAATAAAGCCACAAATATAGAACTTTTAAACTGACGTCTCAGACTGTAAGCGAAGGACAAATTTGTGAGACTTGGGGTCTATGAACTCTTCCGAGAGCATGATGAATGGAATTTTCTTCACATTGACTACGAGGCTGAAGTCCAAGCATTTGAGGACAAAAACGAGTCCATCCCGCAGCCCGCTGGTCACGGCCTCATCACTGACGAGCCGCCACTGCATGGCGAGCCAGCGCTCCCGGTCGTACTGCAGCGTGGGACCCGTGCTGAGGTACCGCTCGAGGAAGGCCTGCAAGGACAAGCGGAGATGCTATTAGTGAGGGAGCACCCGCTCCAGGCGGTGCTGCTGGGGGCTGCCTGCTCTCACTCCTGGGAAAACATGTCCTCCCAACAAACCAGGATGGCCCCACAGATCACACCCAATTCCATCAGGACTGCCCCACGGAGTCCCTGATGGGGAGGGAAGGCTCCCCTACTTTCTCACTCTCCAACCAGAGGGTGCCAACGGTGGTAAGCAGAGACGCGAGGAAGGCAGGGTGGCTGGTACCCACGTCTGCCCAGAAGCCGCGGCTGAGGCACCAGCCGCCTCTAAGGGCCTGGGTCCCATGGCCCAGGCCACGGCTTGTACCTGTTCATAGGTCAGCCTCCTCCCATCCCGAGAGCTCCTCGGGGCAAGTGCCAAGCACGGAAAAGCACTCTGGGAATGTGAGCAGAAGAAATACAGGGATATACCTGCACACACAAAAACGCATGCTCTGCCCTTACTGCTGTGTGCCTCTGGATGAGCCGTTTAACCTCTCTGTGGGTGGAGGAGATGACAGCGCTAATGCACAGGGCTGCTGTGAGGACGAAGTGGTTGACTCTAACCGTCTCACGGTGCAAGGTTGTTTTATGGGGGATGGGGTGTGCACGTGGCAAGTCCGGGGGATGGCCGGGCCCCACGTCCACCTCCCTCTCTCTCGGCTCTAGCAGGGCTGAGCTCCGTGGGTTCCTCGACATTCCCCTCGACATGTGCTGTTCCTCCTGCTGGATGTCGTCCTTCAGCAAACTCCTCCTGGCCCTTTAAATCTTCTCACACCACTCCCTGAACCTCTCAGACAGGCGAACATGTCCTCCTTTAAGGGCCTCTAATCATGGCATGACTCCCGTGTGACATTTTACTTTCTGAACAATTACTGCCAACTTGCTTGTCTGAGGCCTATACTAAACTATACTCTCCTGGAAGGCAGGAACTATTTTTTTTTTTTTTTTTTTTTTTTTTTTGCGGTACGTGGGCCTCTCACTGCTGTGGCCTCTCCTGTTGCAGAGCACAGGCTCCGGACGCGCAGGCTCAGCGGCCATGGCTCACGGGCCCAGCCGCTCCGCAGCACGTGGGATCTTCCCGGACCGGGGCACGAACCCGTGTCCCCTGCATCGGCAGGCGGACTCTCAATCACTGCGCCACCAGGGGAGCCCAGGAACTATTTTTTAAATTCGGATTTTCCATGTGCCTGGCATATGCTGGGGGGCTCAACAGCGTGTGTGTTACATCAATAAATACATCGATTTAGCTTTGAGAAAGCAGAAGAAAGAATGAACCAGGGATCCAGATAGAAAATATTAGGATAAAACATTCTGGTCCTAAACACAGGTCACAGATGGTTTCTAAGTGGTATCCTCCAACCACACCTCACTGCTGCTGCCAGGTACATTATTTCTCATCTATAAGCATATATTCTAAGGCAGAAGGGAGAGTTGTGCCTCTACCACAACACTCACTCATATAAAAATAACTCCTATGTGGGCAATTCCTGGCGGCCCAATGGTTAGGACTCAGCGCTTTCACTGCTGGGGCCCAGGTTCAATCCCTGATTGGGGAATTAAGACCCTGCAAGCCACGAGGCATGGCCAAAAAAAAAAAAAATACAACTCTTATGAATCATAAGGAAAAGAAACAGCTCAACAGTTAGATAAATGAAATTAATAAGACAATTTATAAAAGAATAGAAAATTAAGATATGAAAAGATGTTCTATCACATTAATAGTTAAATATGACTTCAAATAATAAAAATCTATTTCCCTCCTCTTAGATGGGCAATGATCAAAAAGAATGGTAACACCCAATGCTGGCAAGGGTAAGGGGGAAATAAACGGTCTCATATCCTAAAGGCAAAAGTGTAAAAACAGTAACACCCCTTAGAAGGACAATTTGGCAGGATCTGTACCTTTGATCCAGCTGTTCCTCTACTAGAAATTTATCCTTCAGAAATACTTGCATAAATGTACAAACACATATGTAAAAAAGAGATATTCACTGCAACACTGTTTAGACCAGGGATTGGCAAACTTTTCTTTAAATATAAATATTTTTGGTGTTGCAAAGGCACACACTGTCACAACTGCTCAACTCTGCTGTAGTAGAGAGAAAGCAGCCGTAGACAATCTGTCAACAAAAGGGTGTAGCTGTGTCCCAATAAAACGCGATTAACAAAAACCACCAACCCCTGGTTTAGACTAACGAAAGATCTTAATCCAAATGTGCGTCAGTAGGCAATCCGTTAAACAAACCATGGTATTCAGTGGAGTAAGACACAGCTATTACAGGGAATGAGTCAGATCTGTGTAACGGAGATTGCGAAGTACTGACATGGAAATACAGCCAAGAGACAGCTTTAAGTGAAAAAAGCAAGTGTCCAAACTTTACCTATATGGTATGAGATCCCATTTCTGTTTTTCTTTTTTTTTTATCCATTTCTGCTTTAAAAACACACACACACAAACACCTGAAAGAATACACCCCTACTCTTTATATCAGTAAGAACTGTCTGGGTTAGGGGAATGAAAACTTCGCTTTGTACATTATACTTTTCTTTAACGTTCGGATTTTTATACAAAGATTATTAGTTTTAATTCAGAAAAGTATACTTTTTTTTAAATGAAAAAGAAAGCAACCAGGAAACTTAAAAAAAAAGAAAAAAACCTTGAAAAAGGAAAACCACCACTTCCATTCTATGTGGTACGAGCTATCACTTTGCACATGCAGACATATTGTACTCACTCGTAACCACAGTGTTCAAAGCTTTTTGCATTCTGTTGTTTGTAAATATCCTAACGAAGATTCTTCCATGTTTTAACAGGTGAGACACTGTACTATGTAAGCCACTGTTCTATTTTTAACTCCAGTTTGGAGTTAATACAGGTTATTTTGCAAAAATCACGTGCATATATATTCACGAGTATAGCTGACTGTGCTGAGTACTTTTTCTAGGAGACGGATTAGTGAGTCAAAGAATATGGGAAACATTATGGCTTCTTAATGAATATTTCCATATTGCTTTTCTAAGGATCGTTACTGGTTAGTGACAATGCAACCAGCAGTTGTATATTACAAGGCAATGTATGAACACAGGTCCTTATACTAATAATATCACTACCATGTGTTATATGTGTACTACAGGCAAGCTCATTTACTTTCTACCTCATGATTTACATGTCATGCTGCCATATTTAATATAATTCTCATACAACAATCCTATCAGGTAGATACTATTATTATCCCCATTTTATGAAAGAGGAAACAAGTGAAGAGTAACTTAGGCAAAGTCACAAACCAATTAGGTGGTGGAGCCAGGATCTGAACCCACTTCTGTTTGAAGAGAGGTCCTTTGCTGAACCCTTCCTTCTACTTTGCCTCCTTGGCCACAGCCCTCTATGAGATGCATGGTTGTTTCTTGTAACAGCCCCAAAAGTGTGCTCATGTCATAATCCCAGAGAGCATTCAGTAGAACTAACCCCCTAAGAGCCAAAACACCAAAGTGATGGCACGTTTTCTCTGGCTGATAATAATGGCTACTTATTTGGTCCTTATATTATGACAGACGCTGTTTTAAGCACTTCGTAAGAATGGACTCTCTTAGTTCTCATGACAACCCAGTGAGGTAGATATTAGTATTATCCCCAATTTACAGGCTAGCAAACTGAGGCACAGAGCCATTAGGCTCTTGGCCCAAGGTTTCCCACTAGTTGGTGGAGGTGCCAGGTTACAGTGAGTCAACTTGGCCCCAGAATCCGCAGAGTAACCTAAACTACTACCTGGACTGTCTCTAAGTGAAAGTCTTTCCTCTGCTTGAATCTAGAGGCCTTCAAAGGCACATTTTTAAAACGACGGTATCAAAACAACATAAAATAAGTGAGAATCATTAATTCTTATTAGCTGGTGCTTTACAGAAGCCTTTGATTTTATCATTCCTGGTAATACCCTAAAATGGGACTTTCCAAGCTCGGTGACAAGTCGCACCTTTGGGGTCATGCTGTTGGTGATGCAGAAGGCCAGGTGCTGCAGGATGCTCTCCATGCTGTGGTAGTGCTGCTGCCGGGTGGTGCGCAGGTACTTCTGCAGAGCCCGGGCCATGGAGGGGAAGATGGCCTGGGCGGCCTCCCTGGGGTCCATCACCTCCCCTGGGGCTTTCTGCTGCTCCTCAGCCTGGAGACGCTGGATGTGGATGAAGGCCTCCTCCACTGCAACCACCAGCCTGCAGGCGATGAAACACAGCAGTCAGGACCGTGGTGCAGGGCTTGAGAACAGAGTCACACTGAATGTGGGATGACTCCTCCCAGTCTGCCACCAGCTCACCCAAGGCTCCAGTCCTTAGCTGACACTCCAGATGGTTGGGAGAGGAGGGAAGGGGAAAGGAAGGCAAAGGCAAAAATAATACGTGGAATGGGGGCTCCAGGGTGAGGAGGAAGGAGGCTGGGGTTTGGAGATGACTTCTGTTCTCAATTCTGCCACTAATTTACTCGGGAGACTCAGTTCAGTCCCTTTCATCTTTACAATGAAGGGTTAGATGAAAAGAGTTTTAAGGCCCCTCAGACTCTGGCTACAAAAGGCTCTGCTTGCACTGAGAGGTGGCTGGTGGTGCGGAAGCAGCCTTACAGAGAGCCAGAGCTGTATCCCCGGATCCAGCCGCCCATACCAGCAGCCCCTGGGAGAAAAGAAGGAAGGGGCCCAGCACACATGATGAAAACCATCTCTGTCCACTTTGGCTAATGTGATCAGATCTTGAAAATCAGCAAGAGCCTGGGGATATAGGGCGGGCCACTCAAAGTGCGGGCTGCGGGCCAGCAGCTTCATTGTCAGTTGGGAATTTTAAAGAAATGCAAATTCTTGGGTGGGCCCCGCTCTAGACCTTCTGAAAAGTTAAGTATCCGTTGCCGGTAGGGCCCAGAAGCTGAGATCTGTGTTTTAACAAGTCCTCCTGGTGATGCTTTTGAATGCTAAAGTTTGAGAAACACTGGAGCGAGATTCCCTCCAAAGGCCCAAGCAGGTCATGTTTATAAACTGAAATTTCATTCTGGCTAAAAAAAAAAGTCTTACAGAGAACAGACTGTGGGTTGCCAAGGGGGAGGGGGTTGGGGGAGGGAAGGAGTGGGAGTTTGGGATTAGCAGATGCAAGCTGTTATATACATAAGATGGATAAACAACAAGATCCTACTGTATAGCACAGGGAACTATATTCAATACCCTGTGATGAACCATAATGGAAAAGAATACGAAAAAGAATGTATGGATATGTATAACTGAGTCACTTTGCTGTACAGCAGAAATGAACACAACATTGTAAATCAACTACACTTCGATAAAATAAATTTTTGAAAAAGAGTGTTAGTATGCCATTCAAAAGAAAAGTGTGTTACAGGCATGCTAGTTTTGGGGGGTGGGCAGTGTACCTTGCTCTCCGCTTCTTCACCCGCCGTTCATGTTCCGCCTCCTCATAATACAACTCGTTGTGGCTCGAGTCCCTGCGCCGAGCAGCTGCGGCGATCATTGCCCGGGACTGACCAGTGGCGTTATTACTGGGGCCTTTGGGGGAAAGGACGATGGAGGAAGGACAGTTTTAATGCCTTGGGGCTGCGAAACAGAGCAGAAAACTAGTCCACAGTCTGTCAGTACCGTCTGCCCATCCCCTGTGAAGCACATACACAAATCCCCGAAGTAACTTCCCAGAAGGGTGAACAGGACCCCTGCTCTGCGTTCAAAATGCTCACAAGAAGAAGGATATCTCCCAAAACCCCAACTTGATGAGTGGAAATGGAAAAAGAACTCCGAAGGAGATGAAGAATGCTTGACAATTAAAATGCTGGCCAAAAATAGCACAGACTGTGCTGAAGACGTTACTTACCATCTGTTACATAAAGTTCCATTTTGGCCGTAGGGGCAGCTGGAACATTCATTTCAGCGACAAGACAATGGGAGAGGATGAGAGGGATGGGGGGAACAGGACAGAGGAAAAAGAGAGTCAATGGCCAAGGAGACATTAACCACACACGTGCTGGAGGGTCATGGTAGCCACAACTTTTACAGAAAATACCCATGCTTGGGGTCTTGCAAAATGTCATGTTTATTAATACACACCTAGAACTCCTGGTCTCGTTCCCCTGACCGTGGACTGCCTTAACTTTTTAGAAGGACAAGGCAGACTGTACGCTTTCTTACGTAGCATCTACTTAATGGCCTGGCTTGCTAGTGGGATTCTGCACTAGGTTTGTGAAATTTACCAGCCCTTTAGGATTCACAAGCGACTGCACATCTCATAGAGCCAAAAACAAAAAAAGGGGGAGGATATTGTCACTAAAACTGACACCGCCTATAAATCACTCGACTTGTTAACAATATGATCCTCTTCTAGGTTTTGCAAAGCTCTTGCCCTGACCCAAGGTACCTGGCAAGAAATGACACCGTGTCCTGTTTCTTGCACTTAACCATCTGATAGCCCGAAACACAGCTCTGATGTCCCCAGCCTGGCCTCCGGCCTCCAGCCACCCACTCAACTCTGGCTCTCAGCCAGGACTGACAAATGCCTGTAAGAATCTCACCAGAGGCCTGAATTATAGACTTAATGGATTGGGGTAGCTGAATCTTTGGTAATTTATCCAAATTTTGAAAAGCAGCCTTTTCCTATGAGCTTTCAATGTAAGATGTTCACAACAGGAGGCAGGAAACCCACATCACTCCTGTTTCATGTAGTTTTCATAAAATCCTCAAATGAATGAATCTCCCACATATGCAGACTATCAATCAACATTTCTCTAAAAATATCTTTGTCGGGAAAAAAAAAAAAAAAAAGGAAAGGAAAGAAAGGAAGAAAAGACAAAAGAAAAAGAAAAAAGGAAAAATTGTTCTGAAATGAGAATGTACCATAAAGGCAGACCCTGAGAGGGGTAGAACCAAATGGAACATACAGTTTAATCTAAGTACTGGGTTGGCCAACTGCTCCCTGCACCCACCAGAGACACCACTTCAAGGCACGTACCATCTACGTTGTAGACTTTCAGCCCGGCCATGTGCTTGGCTGCTCGGAATTTGGAGGCTGTTAGGAGGTTGGGGTTATAGATGGTGAAATCTTTATAGTAATTTTCCAGAACCACCAATGCTGCTCGCTGGATACTGAGAAAAGAAGGCAAAATTAATGCAGTTTTTCCAAGCAGGTTCTATGTGAAAAAAATACTCTTTTGGAGTCAGGTAAAATAACGGATCACCAAGGATAACCGCACATAGAAGGCTCCTGGGTTTCACCACATCTTTTGTCTCCAGGACAAGAATTTGAAGATGAAACTTAAGTCCCATCGTTCAGTGGCTTCTGTGCCTTCCCCCAGGCTACATCATTAGCCGCATCCCATCTAGCCAATAGGCGAGAAAGGAATGTTATACCTTCTAATTTAGATTTGCTTAGGCTACACAGAACGTTCCTCGTTTTCTCAGTTTACAGAAGAGCAAACTGAGGACCCCAAAAAGGTCAAGGACTTACAGATGGCTGCAGAGCTACTGAGTGAAACAACAAAGTGTAGATTCAAGTTTGTCAGGTCCTAGAGCAGTGTTTCTACCTACACCTCATTGCCCCTGATGGAAGGAATGTAGGGTTTTCAGTTTTCTGTAGGTCAAAACAACACCCACACAGGGCAAAGTGCACTGGAAAAATACTGGCTGCAAACACTAGTTAATCCTGATTCCTACTCTTCATCCCATCCATCCCAGGCCAGCGAGAGCTCCCTCTTTCAGAGGAAACAAGATCCTTTTCCCTGAGCCCCCTGAGGCCTCAGCTGAGACCTCACTCTTTCTCGGTCTACAAGGCCTCCTGCTCCGTGGGTTGCTGTTTCCAGTCCTCCGCAGGGGTGTGTTAAGAGGACTCCACTTGCCAGTGTCCTGAGATCTCTAACCTGTCACCAGCCTGGCCACTCTGAGAGCAGGAGAGGAGCAGAGAAGAGGTAGCAGGGTGGGTGAAGGGGGCACCCATACTCAGTACTGGTCGCAAAAGAACATGCTCTTGGGCACAGATACAGGACACTTACCACTTCAAAGAGTGACCTGTAATAACACAGTCAGGGATTTTACATACCTCATCTAATTTGACCCTCACAATCATTCAAGGGAAGAAAACCAAGGCCCAAAAATCTATGACCTGCAAACAGGACACATCTTCCAAACAGCAGAGCTGGAACTCCAATCTGTTCCTTCTCCCAGATGTGTGGCCACTGTAGGACAGTGTACATATGCACTGACCTCTCCAGGTCTCTTAGATGTTCACCAACCACCAGTATGCTAAACTCCTCATAGTTATTTGTATCTTGCCCTTTATATTTTTCTTCTTGTTTCCCTGCTAAGTAGGTGAGCTTATAAGGATTATTTACGATAGCCTGGGCACCAGGATAGGGCTGCCTTCAATTCCTGGATGACCACACTGCCTTCTACAGCTCTCCGAGTGGCTCAGGGTTCTTCACACCAAGACAAGACTGCCCCTAACCCATCAGCTTGACACTCTGCCAACCCAGTCCTCAGCTCCCCTTGGGGCTGTGCCCCCAGAGTTTAACATGGAGTCGAAAAACAATCTAGAAGTCACTCAGCTAATCTCCTTGAGAGCAGAGTCATGGCAATGCTTTCTTACTCATATCCCCACAGTGCCTCGATCCGTGATCCGCATTCAGTTGGGGCTTAGTATCAACCTAGATATGCACACTCATGCAGGGCTGGGGAAATCTGGGAAGACCAACTTCCAATAACAGAAGTATAAGATTCCTAAGAGCAAATCCACATTCAAAAGCCCTAGTCATTTAGTCTTCCAGTCGCCCAATCACCACTCTCATATTTAAGAACCTATGTCAGCCAAGCTCTGGGAATGCAAAGATAGGGTGGGAGGAGCTTCTCCTTGCCGGCGTTATGTGGAACAGAAGCTCTGTGACCACGAACTGGAATACACAGGGGCTGAGGAAGCACAGAGGAGGGCTTCTAAGCACCTAGGACTTGGGTAGGCATAAAAGCAACTTCCTGAGGAAGTGAAGTGGCCCTTGAGTTGAGGTCTGTGTCTCATAGATCTTTGTGAAGAAGTCCTCTTGGCTTTCAAACACCCTGCCCGGCGGATCCCCGGCTCAGCATGGCCAGCCTCGGCTCTGTCCCTGTGTCCGTGACATTCTCCCACGGGCGGGGCACGTGCTGCTTCTCCACCTGAGGCTGACGGTGGCCTCTGCCTGCTGCTCGCTGATCACACACGAACACTCCCTCCTACGCACCTCCACCCGCCTGCCCAGGCACTGCTTTTCCAAAGTCTCTGGGCTTCTTGGAGATGAGAAGCCCCTCTACACAGAAGGAGGTCTGTTCATGAGCACAGACTTGCCGCACGCAGGCTACTTCATCCCAGGCTCCTGTGCTGACATGGACACATCTCAAGGGGCCTGGATTCCAGCAGAGAAGTATTTCCCTGATCAAGATTTAAAACTTAAAAAGGCAACTCAGAGGTTATGCTCAGGCCCATCTTCAAAGCAAACCCTCTTGTGGTTGTGGGTTTTGGCTTTTCTGTTCAGCCAGCCCGCAAGGAGGGGCCCAGGGCACCACACTACCTCAGCCGGGGCCTGCAAGACAGAGAGGGAACGGCTGGACCGGAGCCTGGCGGCCCTGTTTCCCAACCTCTCTACCCCCAAAGCCACCATGCTGCCCAGAGAAGGGGTGTCTGTCCACACCCAGCTCTGGCAGGAGCCTTGCTCTCCAAACTGGGCAAGTCCACAGTCAGCATTACGCCAGAGCCCTGGGCGGCCTGGGGAGGGCTCAAGGACTGGACAGGAGCCTCCCCAGGCTCGGGAGCCTTTGCTCAGAAAACCAAACAAGGGGCAGGGCTCGGGTGATGTTTTCTTCCTTCAGCCCCATCTCAACAGAGAGGCACCAGAAAGCCCCAGAATCAGCTGTGGACCTGCCCGCCTCCACAGGCTGACAAGCTAACACAGGAGCTAAAAAAAAAAAAAAAAAAAAGTTTTTGCAGTACGCGGGCCTCTCACTGCTGTGGCCTCTCCCGTTGCGGAGCACAGGCTCCGGACGCGCAGGCTCAGCGGCCATGGCTCACGGGCCCAGCCGCTCCGCGGCACGTGGGATCCTCCCAGACCGGGGCACGAACCCGTGTCCCCTGCATCGGCAGGCGGACTCTCAACCACTGCGCCACCAGGGAAATCCCTCTTCACCTTTTTGAAGAGAGCAGACTGTAATATATGATGTAAGTCTTGTTGGTGAGTCAGGGTGATCACCAGCCCCAATTAGGTACTGGGCTGTGCTTCGTATGTATCAGAGGGGAGTGTCAGAGCCCTTAGGAGGCCGGGGCTCCTCCTGGTGCCCATGCTGCAGTCACCTTGAGTACTCACAGCCGTTTCTTCTCATTCTTCACCATGTTCTCTCTCACTACTGGCTACCGAAGTCATTCCTAGCTGCTGTCAACCTAGCTGCCTCAGGCAATGATCCTCTGTTCTTGTACATCTTCAACCTTGGTATAGAGAAAATGGGCTTTGCGGCACCGGAGTGAGGCGCTCTGCTCGGGCTAAGTGATATCCACTCCAGTACGGCAGTCCGATGTTGATTTCAATCCCAAGTCTAAGGGCTTTCTCATTTCTGTTCTGGCTCCTGATTCATGCTCTGGACTGGCTGAGTTTGTTAGATAACTTCAGGAGAAAAGAAATCTACAACTACTATATCATTTGGCATCTACTGAGGGGACACCACCCTGCAGGGCACCCTAGCATCAGCCTAAGTTATGGCTCCACAATGCCAGGATGCAGGAGCACCCCTGTCCTCAGCCAGTGTTGGGGTTCAGAAGCCCCCTGCCTCTGCTCCTTGGCATCTTCCAAATATGGCATCTCACAGGGCCAAAGCAGGGCTGATTTCTTTCAGGAAGCCTTTTCCAACCCTCCGGTCCCCACTGACCTGTCAGGGGAGTCACACGGGCAAGGCTCGCTCTCTAACAAGCCCCGGGAAAGTCCCCCATGCACAGGGACGCCTGCGGTGGCTTCCCCATGGTGCACGGTACTTGTTGGCTCAACCTGCACATTTAGGAAACCCTAGTAATTGCCACAGGTATAGGATCAGTTCTGAGCATGTATTTCATAAAACCATGGAGTTTCAGAGGCACAGGGGCCTCAGAGATGAACAAAAGCAAACCCTTCAACTAGCCTCAGTCTCCGGACCAGACTGCCTCTGGGGAAGGAGGGAGGCAAGAACAACTGAGCTGGTGAGAAATTTGCTGCCTCTCTTATGACTACCACAGTCATAGACAAAAGACAGTAACCTGACTAAATGATCCTCATGCAGAAACCCGGTATACAGGCAGGCGGAGCCTGATGTCCAGACTGATTGTGGACACGGCCACACCAAAAACCCATGAAAGGAGCACTTTCCCAAGATACGGAACTCTGAGCTCAATAATTACACCCTCCCAGGGAAATGCCCCTTTTCACAGACCACATATATTTGTGGAAAACAGCGCATGGATACGCATAGCTCATAACAGAAATTCACTTGAGACCTGCACATAAAAACACAAGTATAGGAATCCCAGATATGCCTAGAAAAGGACAACATGGATGATGGACTAGCCATGATCAGGACCAGAAGAAGTTGATGCTGTTCCCAGTGGGAAAGTAACCCCCTCAACTCTACTTGGTCCAAACTTGAGCTCGTGGATGAGACAGGGCAGCAATGGATCAGCACAAATGTCTGAGGGAATTCAACAGCCACGGCTGAATCTGAAACTCACCCTTGACCACGTTGCCTTACTGGTCTATTTTCTTTTCAGGACAAAGAGGGTGCAATGTGAAATGCTATGTCTAATCAGCTACAAAACATCTTCCAGGGTCAGTGACAACTGTCATACAAAACTACCATGGCAATGGAGGCGAGGGCTCACCCTCGTGCTACATTTCTAAAACACATTTGGAGAGAAGCACCTCTGAACACAGTTCAAATTTTAGTTCATAAAACTCTGAAAGACATGTCTTTGAAAAATAAATTCTGAAAAACAAAACCAAACTAATGCCCTACGTATCTGTACCCCCACAGCCTCTCCACTCTCTCTGACTGTGGGTTTAGGATGCACGCTGTAAATGGTGCAGGCTCAGGGCTCAGAGAGCATGACCCTT